AGACACTAGTATAGCAATATGTAAAACAGTGGATGTGTAACCGATGTGATGCTGCAATCTGTATTCGGGGTAAAAATGGGAGTTCATAACCCACTTGAATCAAAGTGTGAAATATGATATGTCAAGAACTATGTAATGTTTTGAACAACCAACAATAAAAATTAAAAAAAACAGTAAAACAAAGGATGTGCTAAAGGTAAAGCAGAGAAAAGGGTAGGTGAGTTAAAAGAGAGTAGAAAATGGAGACAGAGACAAGTTGGAGACTACCACAAGAGGCTAGACAGTTGTACTAAGGAAGTCTGATATTATTCTGACAGCAATGGTGATCCAGAAGTGTAGGCTGGTGGTGTGCCAGCAAATTGCAGCAATCATCTCATGACAATTTACTCATGAATTTTTTTTTGCATTATAAAAATAACTTCATTTAATTCTGTTGCTAAAACATATATGTTCATCATTGAAAATTTAGAAAATACACATAAACATTAAGTGGATATTATTACCATAAATGGGATTTCACAGAAAGGCCATCAAAGTGACCAAAAGGAGCTTCTCTATAAATGTATGAAGATGTGAATTTGGTGTCAACATATCTTACATACAAACAGAGATATGATAAATTGTGTATAAAGGTGTATTAAGAATTGTAATGCAAAAAAAAGAGCTCATGTATAATGGCATGATTTGGCGTGAACATACTTTATATACAGAGGTACAAAAAATTGTGCTGTGAATGGATAATTATGAATATAATGCATTCCACTATTGTCATGTATGTAAGAAATAAATAAAAAAGAAAATATTTGGTTAAAAAAAAGACTACCCCATCAAGTGTTTTCAACTTTATACTTTAAAAAGTCTTTCTTATGATGGTTTCCACTGGCATGAAGCAGATTAAAAGGAAGCATGTGCTTTACTGTTTTAAATGCAATAATGTTCTTGGTAGAAAGTTATGTGCACCAAATAAATTTATAGTCCCATAATATGAATAAAGCATGGTTTGTTTATCTGTTCTCCTGATAGCAAGTATGTGGTTCCAACCTCTGCTCTTTATATGGCTGCAGTGAACATCCACATATCCTTAGGTACTGATACAAATATTTCTGTAGAACAGGTTCTTAGAAGTGGAATTATTTGGATTCAAGGATGTTTGCATTTGTACATAACAAATCCCAATATTATGCATACTTTTACCAATAAAAAAATAAAAAAATAAAAAAGACACTTGTAGACATTACCAAAATTGACCTCAATTTGCATCAGTTTATAAGCCAATAAAAATGTGTGGGAGTGATACATGGGGAATCTTTGTTTTTCTAGTAACAATTTCCCTGTGGTGCCAATAATAACAGGACATTGCTTCACGGTGGAGATTTTAGTTTTGCTAGTCATTGAGTTGGGTGTCCAGAGTCAAGCAATGGAAGCCTTGCAGCCAGATACATCACAGGTATATACAGTCATCTCTCAGTATCTGCAGGGGTTTTGTTGCCAGAATTCTCTTCACCTTCCCAAGGGTACCAGAATCTGCCCAAGTTCAAGACTCTTATGTATTATAGCATAAAATTTGCATACAACCTACTCATGCCCTTCAACATACTTTAAGTTGTCTCTTATTTATTTATTTTATAATATTTTTTAGTTGTAGATGGACACAATATCTTCATTTATTTATTTATATGGTGCTGAGGATTGAACCCAGTGCCTCACACATGGCAGATGAGCACTCTACCACTGGGCCACAACCCCAGCTCCTGTATTTATTTATTTTTATGTGGGGCTGAGGATCGAACCCAGGGCTTCACGTGTGTGAGGCAAGTACTTTACCACTGAGCTACAACCCCTGCCCAGTCTCAATTATTTAAAATACCTAATGATGGAAATTCTATGTAAATAGTTACACTATAGTGCTTAAGGAATAATAACAAGGAAATAAATTTACATGTTAAGTACAGATGCTTTTATCAGATTTTTTGATCTGTTTGGTTGAATCTGCAGATATGGGATCTGCAGACACAGAGAAGTGCCTGTATTTTGTAGACTGGATGGAGATTCATACACAATTTCTGTGTTCACCCTTTTCTAATTTTGAGGAATATCTGCATGGGAAATGGGAGCAGTTGGGAGAACTAAATGCACCATGTCCTGTTTTTAGAAATTTATCTAAGAGTTATGGGGCATTTGCTGAAGAGACTTGGGTTTTTACTTAGGCCTTGGTGGCCTCCAGCATGGTCTTCGAAGTTCACAAAATGTGTAGCTTCCAGCTTGAAAGTTGGGCTTCCCTATTATTGAAAATAGACTAATGATACTATTGGTTATTTAAAAAACAATTCAATATTGTCTTTTGTATCCACTATGTGTTTGCTTTTCCTATTAAAATGAGAAAATGATCCTAAAGGAGTAATGTTTACATATGGTCAGGAAACATTATTTTTGAAATATACACTGCATTATTATTTTTTATAGTTACCATTCTGTATGATAAATCAGTGAACTTATTCACCCTGATCTACCTAAAATTTTATACTCTTTGGTCAATATTTCCCCTTTCCCCAGCCAATGCCACCCTGGCTTCATCATCCATCATCCAACTGTCTCCTATGAGTTCAACTTTTTTAGATTGTATATATTGGTGAGATTATATGGTATTTGTCCCTCTGTGCCTGGCTTATTTCACTTAGCATACTGTTTTCCATATTTTACACACACACACACACACACACACACACACACACACACACACTGTTTATCTGTATTATCACAAATAACAGAATCCACCCTGCGTTTATGTATTATTTACTTATTTTTCCATACTAGGGATTGAATTTAGGAACACCACTGAACCACATACCCAACCCCGGTGTTATTTCCTTATTTTTGAGACAGGGTCTCGCTGAGTTGCTGATTCTGCCTTCGAATTTGCAATCCTTCTGCCTCAGCCTCCCAACTCAATGGGGTTACAAGCATACCTTCATGCCCCAATTATCTTCCATTTTTTTTGATAATAGACATTTTAACAGTGTGAAACATCTTATTGTGCTCTTAATTGCATTGCCCTGGTGATTAGTGATGATGAACATTTTTTTAATGTGTCTGTTGGCCATTTATGTTTGCATGTCTTGTTTGAAGAAATGTCTTTAATTTCGTTGTTTTTTTGCTGGAAGTGTTACTGGGAATTGAACATAGGGCTTCATTACTCACATATGCTAGGCAAGTATCTACCATGGATCTACATTTCCAGTTCTTTGGCCATTTTTGGATTGTTATTTATTTTGTTGCTATTAAGTTGTTGAAGTCTATTATATATTTTGAATATTCATCCCCTAACACATAGTTCGCAAATATTTTTGCTCAATCCATGTATTGTTTCTTCATCCTGTTGTTTATTTTGCTGTGCTGAAGCTTCTTTGATGCAATGCCTTTGTTTATATTTATTATTGTTTCCTGTGTTTTGGGCCTATATATAAGTAGTCTTTGCTCAAACCAATGTCATGGAGCAATTCCTCTGTTTTATTCTAGAAATATTACAGTTTCAGGTCTTATGCTTAAATCTTTAATCAATTATAAGAACTAAATTCATATATATTTTAAAAATAGAGGAGAAATTTAAAAAAATAAACCTAACAATCACCATTTTCTTATCCAAAGAAAATCACTTAACTTTTAGGTTTATCCTTCCTTCTCTCCACCCTGCCACTACCAACTGTTTTAATCTGAAAAATTTCAACCTACAGCAAAGCTGCATGAGTAGTGCAATGAACATCTGTACACTATTTGCCTAGATTGACTAAGTGTTATTTTGTCATATTTATTTTATCTCTTTCTTTATATCTGCGTGTGTGTGTCTGTGTGTATTTTCCCACTTTGTCACTTGAGTCAGTTGCAGTTATTGTGATTTATCTCTAAAAGCTTCAGCATATTTGATAAAAACAAGAAGTCTTCTGAATAACCATAGCACAAATGTCTCACTCAGAAAATTAATATTCACTTAGTGAATAAAGTTGTTATTTCATTTTCCTTAGTTGTCAAATTAATGCCCTTTTATGCTAAATTTAACCACTTGCTTAGTCTGTCAGATTACCATCACAAAGGTAACCATTCCCTTTAAATTTATAAAAGTTGTGCAAATTTACTATTTTAAGACAGAAAATACACTGTTCTCCAAAAGGCTTATACCCCACAGTTTTAGGATTCACTGGTGATTTTTATCTACCTTAATTATTTCCATGGTGTTGTGAACTGTTTAGGGTCCTCTCCCTCCTTTTCCCTCTTTCAGCTAAATTCCAACTCTTAAAAAAAAAAAAAAAAAAAAAACAACAACAAAAAAAACTTCCTACTGGTGTGCAGTGGTGAATGCCTATAATCCCAGTGGCTTGAGAGGCTAAGGCACAAGGTGCCTAGCAAATCAGTGAGATCCTGTCTCTAAGTAAAAAACAAAATAGGGCTGGGGATATGGCTCAGTGGTTGAGTGCCCCTGAGTTCAATCCCGGATACCAAAAAAAAAAAAAAATCCTTTTTCTTAAAAAACAAAAAGAAATTAAGTGTCTACATGGTTTCATTCAATGCACTATAATACACTGTTATTTATTTTGATGTTCAAATTGTTCTATAATTGGTCAGGGAAGCCCCTCCAAGCTGGCACCTATGTACTTTTGCTTTATGCACAGGCTTTTCTTTATTTTTCAATATTTATTTAATTGACAAGTAAAAATTATATATTTATGGTGTTTTATATGTATATGTACACACATACATATCTATATAGAGTTCTGTGTGCTTCACAGAGGGGCTGTGGAATGGCAAGCTACACACACACACATAATCATTGTGGAATGGATAAATCAAGCTAATTAATTACCTCACATTTTTTGTTGTAATTGAAAACATTTAAAATTTACTCAGTGATTTTTAAGCATACAATACACTGCTAATAACCATAGTCATTATTTTGTACAATAGAACTCTTGAACTTGTTCTTCCTGCCCAACAGTTTCTGAGCACGGTTTTTTTTTTTTTTTTTTTTTTTTTAATTTACTTTGTACACCAAGATGGTACAGGCTTTTGTACTTCCTCTACCCACCCTTGGAATCAGCCATTTCTCCAAATTTATTTTAGTCGTAAATAGTATTTAAAGCTAGGATCTGAGCCATAGGTGAACTTATTACTTATGAGGTGTCATTACTGATAAATTTTTGTAGAGCTAGCAAATTTATACAAAAAGTATGTGCCAATTATATGAAATAATCAATACTTCGAATCTAGTCCCACAATACCTCATCCCAGTTCCCCCATTACAATTCCTTTCCCATCTCCCGCATTGAGTACTCTGGTTCCCATGTGTTATCGATTATATTTTTACTCATTAGCTGAATCTTATATGCAAATAATCTTTGAAAGTGCCTCTTAAAGAAAACTATATACACACATCTGCATAGGCAAATGTACTCCTACCTCTTGTTCCCCCTCCGCTGCTCTGAGCCTTTAGGCTTTGCTCACATTTTAGTCGGTGCCAATTTGTTGGCTATAGAGGAAGCCAGAGAGCAAAGGAGTAACCTTCATTCCCAGGAAGCTTCCCAGGCCTGGTCTTGCAACCGGGCGAGAGCCTCACCACAGACCTAAGTCGGTATCCAAGGGATCATAAGGCTGTAACAGGCAGTCCAAGTCGTTCTCTTCTGGGACGCACGTCCCTCTAGCCGGCCAAGAGCAGATGGTTAGTGGATTAGAGTGTTCTCCACCATCGTGGGCCCTGGGCCTGAAATATGCGCAGAGAGCCCCTGAGAAGGTGTCTGTGAAGGTGAAGATATGGGAGCCATCGGACACGTTAAAGAAGGACAGCTTTCCCGCCTCACAGTCCAGGAAGATGCCCACGCGCCGCGGAGGGACGCGCAGAGTGAGCGCTACACGGTGTGGGTCCAGGACGAAGTACTCGCAGCTGTTCCACAGCCCCATCACCCAGTAGCCACCAGCCGGGCTCAGGCGCGCGGGTCCTGAGCGTTGCACAGTTGCCAGACAGGCGCCCAGGAACCAGCGGCTCCTTCGGCCCACGTGCACTTCCCAGTAGTGGCGGCCTGTGGAGAAGCGCTCCCGGCTCAGGACGCACGTTTGCTCAGTGAACCTTTGTGGACAACCATCTGCAAGAATCGGTACCACTGGGCGAGAAGAAACGCTTTTGGCATCCTTAGAAACCTCCAGGCTGGGGTGCGCTGTGGTTGCATCCAAGGTCACGTCCACTGCTCAAAAGCACAGGGTTAGTGCCAGCTGAGGATGGTTCTTGGACCCTTCTGTTCCCTCCCCCATAGGCAAATCTAGTTTCTCCTGGTAGAACAATAAGTGGAATCATCACCCCGTCCCATGCTGGCACCCTCCCCCCCAACTCTTTGCCTGGCTCCCAAAGTGGCATTGCAAATTAGTCCTGAGTATTGCAGCCTGCCTTCCTTCCTTCCTTCCTTCCTTCCTTCCTTCCTTCCTTCCTCCCTCCCTCCCTCCCTCCCTGAACTGTAAGCTTCCTAAATTCTATAATTCGTGCTGTGGAGAGAAGTGACAGCAAATGAGGTAGGTTCATGAGGATGGAGCCAAGTCCTGGTAAAGAGGAAGGAGCTATTGTCTAGTACTGTTCCCAGCTGGTGCACCAACCTTTGTGACCTTGAGATCATCATGTGAGCTCCAGGCTTTAGTTTTAGAATTCCAGAATTTTAAAACTGAAGGGAACTTCTGAGATATAGTCTAGTCCAGTGACCTGCCCTCCAACATCCACCCCCCCAAAACTTACCTATTGGATGCATGGGAACCCAAATATCTTTTTTGAGATGATCTGAGAGATTCCTTTAATACTCTTGTGTGTTCTTCTGCCAATAGTTCCAAGAAACAGCCTACAACCCATTAGGAAATGAACCTAGTAAAACCTAGAAAGCTATGCGTGTGGGGGAGCATGTTTGTGCATGCATAGTGCCAGTGTGTCACATTATATGTGTACAAATGTGCCTGTATGTTTCTGTGTTCTGGCTCTGTATTTGGCTCCTGAAAAGACCCTTCCTCTAATCTCAGATCTTTCATCTTTACTATTTAATATCTAGCCAAACCAAGTCAGTTTTTCAGCTCACCTGCATATTGTTGTGCTGCCCTCCACTCTGAAACCAAACAGAAGGGAAAGAGCTGAGTTAATAACCGGGGAATCTTGAGGGAGGCTCAAAATGCATGAGGGGTGCCCATGAATCAAATAACCTCACCCCCACAGCTGGTTTGGCTCCAGACATGTCTGGGTCCACCATGATATTTTCCTTGGAATTTGGGGTTGGGTTTGGGGCTGTGGTTATACCAAAGCTGTGTGCAGCTGAAGTTGTGCTGGAAAAAGACCCAGTACAAGCAGTCTGGATGTCTTCAGCAATGGATGAATCTTTAAATTCTGACTGGAAAAGTTCAGCATGGTTCCTGTCCTAAAACATTCTCTAAACACCTGTCTTTCCTCAGTAGACCTTTTTTTTTCTTTTTCTTTTCTTTTCTTTTCTTTTTTTTTTTTTTTTTTTTTTGGTACTGGGGATTTACTACTGAGCTACATCCCAAGCCCCTTTATTTTTATTTTTAAAATTTTGACACAGGGTCTCACTAAGTTGCTTAGAGTCCCGCTAAGTTGCTGAGGCTTACTTTGAACTCACTATCCTCTTGCTTTAGCCTCCTGAATTGCTGGGGTTACAAGTGTAAACCACTTAGACCTCCTTTCTTAATGTGAGCCATACTAAGTAGATTTCTGTTTTGCAACAAAGATTTGACTAAAATCAATAGACAACATTTTCAGTGTTCCAAACATTATATCTGGTTTTGTATAACTAGTAGAACTTTAAAAACACAAACCTGTTGGGTAGAATTACTCAAGTCTATAAAATATTGTTCAAAGCAATCCCAAGCAAATAAATTTTTGGATATTTTTAGGAACTTCATAAATTTATCTATAATTTATATTTTTAAAGGCCCATTAACTTAAAACAGGAAGTAGAAAACTGAACTCAAATTCTATGCATGTATGAGTTTGACAGGATGAACCCAACTACTATAGAGCTCTAATAAATTTTTTTTTTAAGTTAAAAAGAAAGTAAAAAGGGGAAAGGAGAAATTGTACTTTTAGTTGCTGTAATAGCCATAGCAGTAGCCTGGCACAGTGGTACCTGTAATCCCAGCTAGTCAGGAAACTGAGGTAGGAAGAATCAGAAGCTCGAGGTAAGCCTGAGCAATTTAGTGAGATTCTGATAAATTTTTTTAAAAAGGGCTGTGGATGTAGCTCAGTGGTAAAGTGCTTGTCTAGCATGTTTAAGGCCCTGGGGCCAAATCCCTAGTATAAAGAAAGCCATAGCAATAAAAAGAATGATGTGATAAGTGGCCCAATATACAGTCCCATCTAGACATGTCAGTGGAATATGCACAAAGATGATACCTCACATCAGTGGGGAAATTATGGATAGTGTACTAGATGGCATTGGAAAAACTGTAAATACAGAAGAATCACTGTATTCTCACCTAACACCCAGAAAATGGTGGATTCTAGGATTAAAAACCTACATATAACACATATTACTATAGTATGGATTTGAAATGTTTCCCAAAACCCATGTGTTAAAGGCTTGGTCCTCAGCTTGGAACTACTGAGAGGTGATGGAACCTTTAAAGGGGGGTGGCTATTTGGAGTTCTTCTGAATAAGTCTATAGATGCCACTTATATAACTAAAATGCATATGGCAAAATAGAAACATTTGTAACTTTGGATAGGGCAAAGGGGAGGGAGGGGGAAGGGAGGGGGCATGGGGATAGGAAAGATGGTGGAATGAGACAGACATCATTACCCTAGGTACATGTATGAAGACACAAATGGTGTGACTCTACTTTGTGTACAACCAGAGAAATAAGAAATTGTGCTCCATTTGTGTACTATGAACTGTAATACATTCTGCTATCATGTATAATAAATTAGAACAAATAAATAAGAAACATTTGTAAGATTACATATAAAATAAAGACATACTGTTTGACTAATGGGGGGGTGGAATTGGGAGGTATGGAGAGAAATAAATACATGGCAACATGCCCACTCTAGACCCACAAGGCAGTCTCTACAGGTGGGCACCAGGAGTGTAGGTAATGTCATAAGCTACTAGGGTTGGAACCAATGGTTTCCAATATATTAAGGTCCTATAACAATATAAAAATAAATATGAAAGTAAAATTTGAGTATAACTTCTAACAAGTGACATGAGATTATGGAATGAAAACAGAATGAATCATCGTAAGTTAATCAGAGTGAGTGATCAAGATGCTGAGATGTAGACTTATGATGTAAGTCCCTGATTTATGGTGGCTTGACTTATAATTTTTGGACTTTACAATGAAGCAAAAGTCATACACATTTAGTAGAAACCATACTTCAAATTTTTAATTTTGACCTTTTCCTGGGCTAGTGACAATACCTGTTACCATACTCTCCTCAGATGCTGGATAGCTATAGCCATTACTGGTACTTTACAGTATGCTGTGTTGCTAAGCTATGAGTTAGACAGGTTAAGCATATTAAGTGCATTTTTTACTTGCAGTATTTTCAACTTATGATGGGTTTAATTGGGATATAAATTGGAGAACACATTGAAAACTGTGGGAGAGAAATGATCTTCACTTACCAGCCTGACCTTCAGTCCTTCTCCAGTCTAAAACAGCAGAGGGAAATGGAATTAGAATATCAGAACACCACAGCTTCCCTGCTCACATTAGAGTTTGTACACAACTTTCCCTCTCCCTGCCTTTTTCCTCTTTCTCCTGCCACCCACACAGCCAGCAGGGTTCCAGTCTAGGCATCATACCTCTGGTTGGGAGATGAGACAATCACCACTTACAAAAATGTGGACAGCAAGGAATAATTTCAATAGGCATCACTTACCAAGCTCGGTTTGAAGCTTCTCTGAAAGCAGAACACAGAAAATATCAATTTTCAGATGAATGGAACCACCTTCCCAAAACATGTCACTGGGAAGAGGTTCCTTAGTCTTAAACTACTGCCAACCTTAACCCCACCCTTGCCTCTGCATTGCCCTATAAAAGGCCACCCATCTGCAGATTCTGATGCCTCATCCTATTTACTTTAGTGGCAGCTTAGCACCCACAGGCAACCTGTCCTTCCAGCTCGTTTGGAAGAGAAGAGGTGCAGAAGAAAGGATTTAGAATAAGATTGGTGCCATCTATCTCTCCCCAAAGGCAGATGAAAAGCACTGAACTCCTCCTTCCATTCTAGATGTCCCCTGGCAGCCAGCACTGTCGGTGAAGCAACCTGAACTTACTCAGCTGTGCAGTCAGTTTTCCTGCAGAAGAAACGAAAGGAGGGAAAATTTTCAAGTTGAGGAATGAGTTCCATAAGACAGATCTATGAATGGTGAGGCTTCATTCTCCACAGAGTGCACAGACTTGCCCCCCCCCCCCCCCCCCCCCCCCCCCGCATCGAGGAGGGGACTCTGGGCCAGAAGCAATCAGGCTCTGGGGTAGGTAAGGGTAAAAACAAACCTCCTTCCCACTTAACCTAACTCAGCCCTGCTCCTAACTCCACCCTCCGCCCCGCCCTTATCTGGGGTCCTTGCCTTTTGACCCAGCGCCCTCTGTTGGTCAGGGATGTTGGACACAGAGCGCCTCTGGGGCAGCTTACCTTGTTCCTTCTTTGTCTGTTTCTTTAGCTTTTCTGAAGGGAAGAAAGAGAGAAGCCTTAATATGTGCCCTCCTCTGCCTGTTTCCAGGTCCTGTTTCTGCCTGAATAGGATGGTGCCTCTGTAAGCCACCCTGGGTCCCCTTCCTGCCCGTGGGTCCTTGGACGCTGCTGCCACCACTTTCCTCCTAGGCCAAGCCAGCTGTAGGAGGGTGATTCTCTGGCCTGCCTCATACCTTGAGACTGCTGTTGCTTGTGCAAGAAGTACAACGCCAGCATCGCGAGGAGGGCCAGGAGTAGCGGCAGTGCCACCAGGGTTCCTAAGAAAGCACTCTTCCAAGGGGAAGTTCCGGGAAGAAATACATCTGGAAAACACCCCGCAGGGATTGTCTTGATTTAGGCTACTACTGAGAGAGACAAGTAGTTAGGACCTCGTGGGCTGGAAAATCTTCACAGTGGTCTTCAGTTGACCGGTTACACATTCTGGCCACCCTAGAGTCAAGTGTAAAATAGGTGTGATAGGAGCTACCCTGGCATCTCTCGGTAGGATCAGGTGGAAAGGAGTTGGACTTGAACTTGTCCACCTGAATGAGAAAGTGCTGCATATTGAAGTGAAAATAGACGCACTGGGCGGGCATGGTGGTGGAGTCCTGTAATCCTGGCTAGGGAGGCTGAGGCAGGAGGTTCCAAGTTTAAACCAGCCTCAGCAATTTAGCCAGGCCCTAAGCAACTTAGTGAGACCCTGTCACAAAATAAAAAATAAAAAGTCTGGGGATATGATTTAGTGTTTAAGTACCCCTGGGTTCAATCCCCAGTACAAAAAAAGAAAAAAAAAAAAAGAGATGAGAGCCATTGAGAGTGATGCACTGGTATACCTGTCCCTTCTGCTCCTGCTTAGAACTTTTATGACCACAGCTGTGACCTTCCACCACTTCTTACTCTTGCCCTTCATCTGGAGGAATTGAGAATTCAAGGTGTTTTATGCTTATATCTGAAAACTGGTTCTCTGTCAAATTCACAAATAGTCTCTCTGCCTAGTTGCAAACAATTGCCTCTTATATCTGTTGTCATCATACCTTTGGAAGAACTGCTAAAAAAGTTGGTAACTTGCTGACTGTCAGCTCCCCAGGCTCCCCAGGAAGATCTGCCCCCATGAAGGATGTGGCCAAGAGTCACAGTGACTGTAGATGTCACTTATATAACTAATAACTTATATAACCATGGCCAGATGATCAAGAGATGATTCAACTTTCATCAAAAAGTCAATGAATGATCCTCAGCACCACATAAAAATAAATAAAAAAGATATTTTTAAAAAGTCAATGAATGAATCAATGATGACACTTTAACGCAAATATTGATTACTATTAAGTGTACGCACACAATTGTTTCTAGAAATACTGTAAATTGTAATTAAACATTTTAATGCTGTATTATCTAGGATGGCAAAATTATTAACAGGAAAATATACATTATACACATATACATACTTACATAAATAAATTTTTTAAAAAGATTATAATATATTTGTAACCTCTTAGGGGAAACTGCTTTCTTGGCATTCATGATACAAGAAAGACCTATTTTAAACTACTTGCTTTGGTAGTACTTAAAAATGTATTATAATCATGTACAATAAAAAAAATTTTAAAACACTTAAAAAAAGAGATGAGTGCAAAAGTGAAGCGCAATCCTTTAGAAACTCTTATGGCAATTTAATAATTTGTGTCTATTGAATTTATTTAAAAAGGATGCTTTTATCTCACAGGTCTTTTTGAAAACATCTTTATCTTAAAAAAACTGTGATAAAATATAAAACAAAAAATCTATCCACCACCCTGGTGCTGGGGATTGAACACAGACATGCTAGTGCATTCTCAGCCAGGCCTCAGTACCATTGTGTTCTCAGTACCAATGTGTCCTGTGGGTCAACTGACATAGAGAACATGATGATTAGGAAGAGAAGGATGAGCCAGCACCTACTGACCTGCTATCTGGACCACAAATTCTTTCTTCTGGATCAGCAGAGGGCTCTGGATGGAGCAAGACATGTTGCGATGGGCTTCACCTTGGACAACCACAGATGTTTCCAGATTGAACAAGCCCTTGACATCTTGGGTAATGACTTCAGACTCCAGTGGCAGGCACTGTCCCTGGTGATCTTTCCACTGAACTTTGGGTTTGGGGTACCAGCCATTGGAGGTGCATCTCATCTGAATGCCTCCTTCCTTAAAGCCTTCAATGTAGATATGTGGATCTGAGCCCAGCCCTGGGAGAGGCAGAAAGAGTGAGAATGATCAGGCACCTTCCCAGTAGTTGTGTGGGACATTCATGCAACTGTTGCAATCTCCATAAGGCACCAGGAGCAGAGACTGTTCTTAATGTGTGTGGGCTTTTGTAGCAATCATCCTACCCTCCATGGATTGCAAATGATAGTCTAGATTGGCAGTGGCATGTGGGGACAGTAATACCTTGAAGGACATTTGGAATGGAGAAAGCCTTAGTTGTGTTATTCAAGGGACAGTCCTTCTAGAATAAAGAATTTTTCTACCCCAAATTCCAATAGGTTGTCCTCTGTCTTGATTCTCTAAAGCGCAAATGCTTGTGTTATATGTGCTATTATTGTAGATTATATATTTTTAAGGTCTGTAAATAAGTCAAAAATAACACCTGGTATTTTGCCAGAAAAATGTTAGAGTTCGTAAACAAGTCTGGATGGTGCCTGGCAAAATGTCAGAGGGAGTGGTTTGAGAAGTAACAAAAGTGAGCCATTAAGTGTGGAGATTCCTTATTGGTTGATTGATGTATCTAGTTTATGCTAATTAAGATAAGCTGTGCAAAATGTATAAATAGCTCTGTTGCCCTACAATAAATGGCTCCTATTCCTGCTGCATCAATCTACAGAAGTTATTCGTCACCCCCCGGTTATTTTGCTGCAGCTGGACTGCGGCAATATATATATATATCCCTATTCTTGTAGAAACAGAACCACCATCACACCACCCCACACCACCCTGCCATCACTCATCTTGTAGTGTTAGCATTGAACCCAGGGCCTTGCACATGCTTGGCAAGTGTTCTACTCCTGAGCTGTATCCCTAACCTCTTTCTTTGTTTCCTTTTGCAATGTTCCTCCTTCTTCTTTTCCTATACACAAAAACACACATTATCCAACTTTCTCATCATTTTGATTTTTTTCTCTTAATACATTCAAGAAATTCCTCCACAGTCATTTATAGAGATCCTCATTTTTTTCTAGCAGCAGAGAATGTATCACTACATTGTGTGTGAACCATGCTCATCTTCTATGTGTGGAAATTTAGGCAGTTTCCACTATTTTGCAATTATAAAAATTACTACAAAGATTAGCATAAATGAATGCCTTTTTCATATTGAAAGTGTTGGTGATATATCTTTAGGTTAAACTCCTGGAGGTGGGATTGCAGTGTCTAAGAACAGATGTACAGGAAGTCCTGTTATTTATTGCCAAATTCCTCTGTCCTTAAGCTCCTGGACTTTGAATTCCACTAACAAAACAGCAGAAGCCCTGCCCCCCAAAAGCTCCACCAAGAATGTGGGGTCAAACTTTTGAATTTTTGTCACCTTGTAAGATTAAAAGATTACATCTTTATATAACTTTAACTTGCCTTTCTCTCATTTTAAGTAAAAATGATAACCTTTTCATGTGTTAAGGATCACTGTTGTGTGTGTATGTGTATGTGTGTGTGTGTACAAGAGAGAGAGAGAGAGAGAGAGAGAGAGTGTTTGCTTCTCTTGTCCATTTGCAAATAGACCTATCCTTTGTTTTTTTTTTTTTTTTAAATAACCCCCCCAACAAATTAGGAATTTTCACTGATAGTATATTTACTTGAGCAAAGCCGCCCTATCTAAATTGATCATTTTCTCCTCTGTCCCTGCTGGTGCTTGGCCACAGCACGAACCTGCTACCTCCAGCTCCCAGATGGCTTCACCAGAGAAGTTGTTGGAGAGAAAGCTGCATCCATACAGGCCCTCGTCTGATGGAACCACGCTGCGGAGCAGCAAGACGACTTTGCCAGAGCTGATCTCCGTCGTGACGAGTTTGGTCCTGTTTTGGAACTGCGCCATCTGTCGGTCGAAGAGCTCCTGCCGCCCCTTGTACAGGTGCACTACATCAGAGGGCTGGCTCTGGAACCAGTGGATCTCCATGTCTTCAGCGTTCAGGAGCGGTGACAATTGGCACGGGAAATCCACCTCTTCCCCGACAATGGCCAGTATGGATTCCCCAGGGCCTATCACCTTGACCTCCTCTAGGATGACAAGCCAGAGTAATGACCCAAATCAAATATAATTATATCACTTTGCAGTTTAGAAATCTGTAATAGACTATTCAAAAGATAAAGATGAGACCCTCTGTGAAGAAAATCCACCCGGTTTATTGAACAAGTAACTGATATGAAAAAAAATGAGTGCACAGGCTAAATCACATAAGGAACATGACAACCAGAGACAATGTGTGGTGCTGGACTGTTTATAGGTTTGAACCAACCAGGTATAGATGTTATCTGGGGGAATATGTAAATCTGGCCAGGGAATTAGGTGAAATGCAATGCTAGGCTAAGAAAAAGAAAGTTTCAAAACCAATATGAAAACTATTCTACGATCTTGGGTAAAAAATTAATATTTACATAACTGTTCAGAAAAAAAGATTGAAAAGGAGAGACACCAAATTGTTGTGGTGGTAATTTCTGCATAATAGGACTATTTACTTATTTCCATTTGTCAGCTTTTACAATTAAAAAATATACCATGCACATATAGCTCTTCTAAAAACAAAAATATTTAAAAAACCTATGAGGGCTTCCTGATCCATGGATTTTCATAAAGACTACCCATTTTATTTTCAGAATAAGTCTTACATATGAGTTTATTAAATACATGCATATGGAGATATAGTTGCCATGAGTCATATAGCTTGAATACATGGAAAATTAACTTTTTGAGTAATAGAATATGAAAATATATGAATACACAATTTTTTGGTCGCAGAAGACTCTTTATCCCAAGGCTACATTCCCTATGTAGTATTGGATTCAGAATTAACTCTGGGGAAGAGGAACAAATATTTTCTGTTACTTATGAATATTTCTCCATGTAACTCATTAATAATTTTGAAAATGTCTTTTCCTATTACTGTCATTGACAAACTCTAGAAAGTCTACAGTATAGGAAAACTCATAATTTGACAGAATCTAACAAAGCAAGGCAATTGGTTTTAGGAAAAACACATTAAAACAATTGATAATGAATAGAAGACCTTTAAAATGAGTTCTTTAGTCATTGTTTGGCAGAAAATTTCCCCATGAACTGGCTGCTGAAGAATCCTTCTTTAATAGTTCTCTTTTTCTTCTCAGAAATTGTATCCCTCCAACGACAAATGCCACTTAATCTATCATACATAAAATTTTTCATAATACAATAATTTAAATATATACTTCCCTATTCAAAAGAATGTGTCTATTACCACCAAATAATTCCAACTTCAGAAATAAAACATACACTTTTAAATTGTAATTTGTTTCTATCATATTAACTAGAATTATTAAATATATCTACAAACATAGATAAGCAGATAATGTAATGAATCTAAAATTCTAAAGAACTGTAATGTTGTGGTATTATCAGAAGCTCGGCATATTTATTACTGAACTCATGTTTTGTTGTCTGTCTTAACAGTGTTTCTCTGGTATATGGCATTTATTTTAGGTAGTAACATACATAGGCCAATGACATACATAGGCCCTAAGTTCATGCTTGGGTCCTCCACATAGACTCTCGCAAATCTATTATAGCAGTTTTCCAAAATTTTAGTATGTACTTACCTTTCAATAATTAGTTCTTTTTCCTTTTTTCATCATTTCAATATTGACCCTCATCACAGAAGTACAAGGGATAATTGCAATTGCCATAATTCTTCCTCCTTTGTCTTTTTAATGTCTCTTTAAGATACAATTTGTTATTTTTTTGTACTGATGTTAAGTATTTCACAAACTTTCTCAGAAGTCGTCAGTGAATATTTATCAAAAGTCTCAAGTTTTCCTTTTGTAAGTCTCTCAGGAATTACTGTCAAGGGGCATGTGTTTTGTGTGTTTTTTTCCCGCGCATTAATAAGCCTTTTTATTGTTGCCTTTTGTTTTTTTTAATCGAAGATCCCTTACTGGTCCTGCTTCCATGAATGGTCATACCAAGAGATTAGGGAGGGGAACCAGGTGGCCCCGGGAGGGATCATCTCCACAATATTCCATTTATACACAGAACTAAATAGACAATCACAGAGTCACTATTGTGGTTAGAAGTTGGCAGCATGGGATGGGGAGGAATAGGTAGGAAATAGGGATGTCATTAGAAAAAATACAGCCCCCCCACCAAACTGGGAGAACACTTGGCCTGTTTCAACCCAAGAGGAATAGAAGATCTAAAGCAATTTGGGAAGGCCAGAACCTTCAGGAATAGAGGGAAGAAGAAGGTCCAGGGGGGAGATCATCCAAATTTTGCTGTTGAAACTTAATATATCATGATCTTTCGTTTGATCATTCTCTTCCTCCATGGTGTCTTCATGTGGTCACTCTGTTCCCCCAAACTCATATATTTCCTTCTTTCCAAGTTCAGTTAAAACCTCTGTCCAAAGTCCAATCACCCTGGATTCCTTTCCATCCTTCACTTTGTCCATAGATTATGGACACATCTTTCTTTGTGTAATTTGAGATTATTGTTGCCTACTGAGTGAATCGCCAACATCAACCTGGCAGCTTTCTTCTCCAGGGTCTCCCAAATATCTCACCAAACATTCAATGTTTGGTTCTCTTCCCTGCCTCAGTTTACCCTCCATCTTCATTTTCCTGGAGAATGTACACCCTGAGTGGCACTGCACAAACAGTACCTCCTCTCTGTGCCTCTCCTTGCTTCTTGGGGAAAGAGAATTGCTCTTAGTTGTGCTTAGCTGCCACCCCAAAGTCTTTGGACATGGTTTTCTTGCAGTTGTTTATGTCACATACATTCTGCTCCATTGATCATGAGCTGCTTAAGGATCTGACCTGTGCCTCAGTCACTCTGATATCCCTGGTTCCCAGACAAAGATATTAGGAAATTTCATTTGCATAATTAATTTGCACTTTCTTTCTTCTTCTCCTTCTCCTTCCTCTTCACCAGAGATCAAACCCAGGATGCTTAACCACCGAGCCACACCTTGAGCCCTTTTTTTAATGTTTTATTATGAGACAGGACCTCACTAAGTTTCTGAAACTGGCTTTGAACTTTTGATTCTCCTGCCTCCTGAGCCACTGGGATTCAAGTGTGTACCACTGCACCTGGCTGATTGCTTCTTTTGTGAATGGTAGAATTGGGAGAAATTTTCCCTGTTCTTCAAAAGCTCTGCAAGTGATGGAGTTAAAAATATTTACTAACTGGTTAAGCATAAACACAGATCAAGAAGAGTTTCCTAGCACCTTCCTGCCTTGTTTTTTGCATGCCCAACTTCAGGGTCCTAGGAAGTGTAAGAGGGGTCCTAGGGGCTGGCAAAATGGTGGAGAGGCATGAAGTGGCTGAATGGTGCCCAGGGGAAGTGGCTCTTTAAAAACTGGGATAGGAATCTCTTTGTATTTTAGCAAGTGGCAATGACTGGTCCTGTTTTATAAGATCTCAGCCCTGGAAGTACTTGGCACAAGAGGTAGGCAGAGCTAAGGTGCTCATGTCCTGGTTGGATGAGCTACAGAGTGGTGCAGGTCAGAAGCATTACCTGAATTTGCCTCCTCATGTTGAAGGAAAAGGAGAAGGTAGGTGAGGAAGAAGAGATTGCTGGGCAGAGGTACTTGCTTCAAAAAATCCAAGGATACTGGGAAATCCTCCATTAGCAGTAAGGGCCACCTGGAGAGAGACAAAGGGGTGACACATGGCAGCTTGACTTGGCCCATAAGGCCTGTGATCTGTTGTTGCCTTAATAATAATAATAATAATAATAATTATTATTATTATTATTATTATTATTATTTTTGTTGTCAAATACAGTTCTTGAGTTTCTTACAAATGTGCCAGTACCTGGCTTTTTTAAAACCAGGACCGGATGTGAGATCTGCTTCTATTTTTACCAAGCAACATTGTTAACAGCATCATTGGCCTTGCTCTACCTTACACAGCTTCAAGAGGACAGGCCTGAGCATCCCAGAGGAAGCAGCTCCTGAGCTAATATTGTTCAGAGCCAGGAATAGAGCCATACATTGTGTGGGGGCTCAGCACCACCCTCCTCCGGAGTTAGTGGAGTTCCCCAAACAAAGGGAAATCTCTGAAGAATCTGATTTTTTTATTCTCCTTTCCTCACCACCACAAGACAAAGCTTGTTTTCACTTCTATTTGTCCTGGAACATCAGGTCCACAAAACAGAGGAAAAAACATAGTTCTACTCTTTTTTTTTTTTTCAAAATGGAGTATGCTCCTGGTGGCTGCCTGCCAACTCTAGTAACATTCTGGGAAATGTCTGTCCAGGCCTGAGATCTCAGGTGGTGCTTCTAGGGGGTCAACTGGCCACTGTTCCTGTGTTTGTAGAATCTTTGAGGCCTCAGTGATGGAGTCATTCCATCTAGACATCCCTTTTTACACCTATAGTCCAGGAGAACCAATCCCAGCTCAGACAAGGGCTGACCCCTTTAACTCTAGTGTCTCCTTGGGCCTATAGTAGCATCTTAGAGTCTGATGACCGATGAGCATCTTTGAATTCATACAAGCCTCTCCATATTTCTCCTTCATTTAGTTGTAGGATCTTAGGCAGTTGTTGTCACTGGATGAACCTCAATCTTTGCTTGAACAAAGGGAGAAACCACTTCCATCTCTTCCAGAGACTGCCTCTCTCTCTTTTCACTCCTCTCTCTCTTTTCACCCTCAGAGGGGGAGAGTCTACAGTGAGTTTTCACTCTCCAGTTCTCCTCAGTTCCCTCCTCTGCCYTCTGCCTTCATATTCCTCACTATTTGGTTTTCCTTCTGCAGACTTTTGGCATGGTATGTGCTTCCAGCATCCTGTGGCTTTAGTGCCTCAGCCACACTGTCAGCAATACCACAGGCAAGGTGTTGATGGAGGAATTTAAAGGCCACTGGGTCATGCAACAGAAGAGCAGTCAAAGAGTATTATTACTACTATTACTAATAAGTCTAAATTTCAGATAAGAACCGAGTAGCTAAGGGACTTGCCCCTGCACACACTGAGCTGGGAAGGATTCAAGGCTGACAGGAATACAATGGGAGGGAGAAGCAATGGCCTGAGAAGTGAGTGGGCCAGGTAATGGTGGTCCCAGAGCTCAAACATGGTAGGAAAAAGCAGGGGGACAAGTCAGCATGGCTCCATTTTTATGCCTCAGATTCCTCAAAGGGAGACGTCAGCATCCCCTCTGGAAGGGGCCAGGCTGTTTTAATAGCCAGTATTTATTGGAATAATTTTTTACACAATAATTAGCACAAACTGAGGCCTTAGGCGGGGTCAAAGCTCTGGCAGGACAGTCTGATCTCTTGCCTTTTGTAGCAGATGGCAGGAAAGTCTCTGTGACAAGCCTGGAAACGAGGAGTGAAGTAGAGCCCACAATGGCTTTGCATTTCCTCATCTTCTTTATTCTCCTTTCTTCCCTTTTGTGCCTCTATCTTTTCTTTGGGGCTCTAGATATAGATCAGAGCTGCATGGGGGCAGAGCCATGAGGAGCATATCAGTGTCCAGCTAACGCCTTCTAAAAGAAGAGGAGCTCAGACTATGTTTAGAGACCCATTTGTATGAGCCAGATTCTGAGAAATTAGTCATGACATGTATTAGGTGGTAACATCCATCCTCCCATGAGGAGGTGATAGTAATAAGAGCTGGGAGCAGGATGGCCTCCCAGAATGAGCACCTGCTCTAATTACCCTAGACAGGGGGATGCTGCCATTTCCCAATGGGGCAAGAGATTGGGGCAGTGTGCTCCAGAACTGTGGCATTGTTAGAGGATTGCAGTTCTCTGTTGTCATATACCCATGTGCTTCTCATCACTGAGACTACAGGAGAGGCGGTTGTAAACACATATAAGCACACAAACACGTGCATGAGTCCACAGTAATAAAAACTGATACTTATTATCTATCAAGCATTCACCTGTACCACGAATATTATTACTACTATTACTAATAAGTCTAAATTACAGATAAGAACTGAGTGGCTAAGGGACCTGCCCCTGCACACACCGGTAGTGAGTAGTGTAGTAAGGTTTCCTTCACCTGAGCTGTCTGGTTCCAGAGCCTTACTCTGTGCTTCTGTCCATATAGATTCCTTACCAATTGTGTTGTGTGTCAGGTCACCCTCAGCCACTCCTGCAACCCAAGACCATGATTGCTGGAGGAACTACTACCCAAACTTTTACTCAGATCAGCTATCTCACAGATGTTCCAAAGAAGAGACTGGGTCACAAGGTGTCAGCCACAAAACCAAGCAAGTGAAAATCAATGAATACAAATTTAAAAATCCCACTGCCAAATAAAACAGCTTAAGCCAGAGCCTCCTTAACAGTGTCAACAGCATCTGCTTAGGCAGGAGGCATAGGTGTCAGTTCTATTATTAAATACTAAAGACATTACCTTGAAAGATTTTAATTGGAGGAAATGTTTGGCAATTTCCTGAAGGGAAGAGTCAGTGACTTCAGAGGGGTCCAAAACAGTAGGACCTCTTCCCCATTTGGCTGCCTGAAGTTTGCCCTTTCTAACCTTACTCTCCAGTTTAAAGACTCTGGTCCTTATTGAAATACACATACTACAAGGCACAGTCAAATGAATTTCAGATTCTGGTTCTGGTGAAGAGGTTTTGATGAGGGGAAGGAATAAGAGGCTGCACATGCTGGAAGAACACAGTGAGAAGAAGGATGGCCAAAAAGGGGGCCTCAGACTGAGCTCTGCCGTGCTTGTGGGGTCCATTTCCCCTGTTCTCTTGGGAACCTGTGGGTCATTTCCTTCTGAGGACACAAAGAGTAATAGGAGCTCGTGCACACTGAAATACTGCCACCCTCCACCCAGGGGAAGTCCATTTCTCTCCTTCCCCCTTTCTCTTTCTTCTCTCTTTTTCCTTCTCCCTCTTTCCTTTCCCCCAGCCCAGCCCTATGCCTATTCTTTCCTCCTGAGTTTCCAATTCCTAAGCAACGTCCTGTGTTCTCTTGACTTGCAGTCCCTTAGCACTTGAGTCTTTCTTTAGATTACTTATGTTTTGCTTTGCTGCTTTTGCAAATTGTTTTACAGGTGTGCATTCTGCCTTCCTCTTATCCCCATGTCCTAAGCTGTGTCTATTCTCCCATCTTCCCCCTCAAGCACCCAGTGGGATGTTTTGCCCTCAGCAGCCACCAGTAATTGCTCACTGGCCTGCACTGGTTTGATTTCCATAGACCCACAAAAGGATTTCCACCCTTTTTAAGGGAAATGGATCACCTCAATAAGGGGGCCTCAATGAGGTTTCAAATCCTTTTCTTCTGGGGGAAATGGGATATATCAAAACCCTGCCTTCTCCGGGGGGGGGGGGRGGGCTGCCTGATTGGGCACCCCTTAGCCACACTTGAAACTCCCATCCTGCCTACAGGCACAGCTAAGAGGATACCCACCATGGTATGCTCTTCCCAGCACCAGCACCTTCCACCATAGTTTTCTGCTCTTCATTTCTGAAAGGTGGAGGTTTAGACGGGTGTTGAAAGTCAACCACATACCTTTCAGGTAGCAGCAAAGCGTCCAAAATGGCTAAGTCCCAGCAATCTCACGTTCCTTTGCAAAGTGAGACAATTGTTGTGAAGTGTCTTAGTCCTTTTCAGATAGAGGCTGGCAGCTGAGTTCAGGAGGACAGCTCATTTGTGACAGAATTATTCACCCACCTCCCACCTTAGGACATGTGCTGTTGGCTCTGCACTTGACTATAAAAATCAAGATAGATAGAACAAAACGAGGAAGTCTCTGTCATATCCTGTCTCTGTGAGGAAAATCGCAAATTAAAATTCCCATGGAAAATGTCTCCCGCCCCCAAGGGTCTTAGAAGCAGGGTAAAGGTATCTGAGAGCTTTGTAGAACAGACCGCAAGTTGCAGAGGCTCAGAGCAGGGAAAGAATTTTCCAACTGGTTGCATGGGATCTCTAGCAGTTTGAGCTGGGGTTTCAGGCAGGAAGGGTGCATCCCTGGCCAGCCTCTCTCTTCTTACAGTCACAGTGAAAGCGATGAGACTTCTCACAAAAGGTTGGGAAGGTGCTTGTGCTTGTGTTCAACTTGTACTGACACCACCCTACCATCCTCTCCAGGAAAAAATCAGTAAAGAAATAACCTGGAAGTTTTGCAACCAGGAAAATTTGCAAGAGCTGTTCACATACAATTTAGAATAGACTGGCGTGTTGAATTAGGATTTATCTAGAAGCAAAGCTCAAAAAAGAAGTAAGTACTACTCCCTTCACTCCATCTTGCCCTAAGCAACTTTGTTATTAGTGGGAAAGAAGAGCAGAGGACCAAGCTGTAGCCACCATCCTCTCTAAGGACAGGATAGAGCTGGGCACAGGGCAGCTCAACAAGGAAGGAGCTTCCAGAAATACTCAGTGTTTGGAGATAAGCCTGTGCATAGGCCAGGGATCTGCGTGAGTAGGTTTATGCAAGAACCAGTAAGCAATGAAGTGCAGACTTGAAGGTACCACACGTTTTCCAACAAGCTGGTAAGGCTGGAAATTGGAGCTTATACTTACACAATGATGTGCTCAGAGCACAAAAGAGGCCAGTTGGCAAGACAAAAGAGTGCTCAGGGACAGATTAAACTTTAAGTGGCTATTGAATAAAGAGGAAGATCTGAAAAGCAATAGGAAAAAGAGGAGGAGGGCAGGCAAAGATATTGTGAGTGAAAGGAGGTGACTAGTGTTTGTGTGTGGAGAAAAACCTTGCTGGTTCATGTGTGTGGGGAGAAAAACCTTGCTGGTTCAACTTTATGAAATTTGAAGGTGAAAAGCAAGGTTGAACAAAAGTAGATGGGACCAAATTTCAGAGGTCCTTAGATGCCACACAGCAGAGTAGAACATTGTTTGATGGGCAGCCAGAAATTGCTTGGAAATTCAAAGGACCTAAAGTGGAATCACCCTTATAGAAGGGGCTATTGAGAAACTTTAATAAAAAAATTTTATTGCCATTCCTCTGGATTATTCCATGCTTCCTAGGGAGAGGTAAGATTGTCACAGCAGAAATAGCAGAGAGAGAAAGAGGCAAAGTTTTCTACTGTGGCTTCCAGAGCCAGTCCTGCTAAGACATGGGGGGGAGATGTCACCTGCCAGCTACCACTGCCTGCGTATCAGGGTGCATGGTCCAGCAGGATCTCAGTTCCCTACTGTTTTCCATCCTACAAGCTGCATATAAGTACCTCCATTCCAAGGCTTCAGGAAACAGAAAGACCTATATGCAAAAGGGAATCCTGGTGAATTGTAAGTAGGAAGGGGTGGGAAGAGTCCTTATTTGTCCTTGGACAGTGGAGATCTGCCCCATTACCCAGTCTCTGCATCAGGTAATTTAGGTCAATTCTCCCTGGTATATACCAGTCTCTACCATGGGGTTGTCTGAGGAAATTCTGGGGGTGGGGAATGTAGGAGAATCCCCTTCCCCTACACAAAAGCTACTCTCACACACAGCATGGGATACCAGAGGAGAGGGAATACAAAAACACCAAAATCATAAGAAGATCTATGAATTCTTCTCCTTTTCCAGGGAATATATAAGATAAAGTACTATAAGGGTTAGGGATGTAGCTCAGTGGTAGAGCACTTGCCTAGCATGCATGAGGTTCTAGGTTCCAGCAAAATACACACACAAAAAGAAAGGAAGGAAGGAAGGAAGGAAGGAAGGAGGAAGGAAGGAAGAAAAGAAAAAAGAAAAAACAAAACTGAACACAAAGGCAGGCTTGGGGTGAGGAAACGACTCCTCTCTTGAGTTTATAAAAATGTTTTCCCTCATCTGCAGATTCCATCCAGTCATCTGTCTCACCTCTATTTTCACCTCTCAATCTGCATCCTTGCTTTTCCAACCTTCTCTCTTTGTATTCTTGGCTCCTAATCTCTTCACCAGCCAAGGACACAAGGCTATCAGGTCCATTCCCCTGCCTATGCATGTGTCAGCTTGTCTGTCTGTTCTCTCTGCCAATCCCCACTCTTCCCCCAAGATTCTGCTCAAGATTCCTTTTTCCCATGTCTTTGTGGGTAAACTCAGCTTCTCTATATGCTGAGTGCCTTCTCACGCCTCAGTTTTTTCCCTTAGGGTTAAAACATGGATTAATGTCTACTGAGACACATTTGCAAGTGCCTTTTTGTTTATTTTTTTTTGTTTTGTGATATTGGGGGTTGAACCTAGGGCCTCATGCATGTTAGGCAAGTGCCTTACTACTGGGCTATATTCTCGACCCTTTTTATATTTTTAAATTTTGAGACAGGGTCTTGTTAAGTTGCCCAGGTGTCGCGATGGGCAAAAGTGCGACATCTGCAGTTGAGGGGAGAGATAAAGAATGTCCACATGCTTCTGCCCTTTTCAATGTTTTATTCACTCAAATCACTTAATAAAATTTTACTCTATAGGATTATTTTTAAAGAGTGAGAGAGAGAATTTTTTAATATTTATTTTTTAGTTTTCGGTGGACACATCATCTTTATTTTATTTTTTTATGTGGTGCTGAGGATCGAACCCAGTGCCCCGCACATACCAGGCAAGCACACTACCATTTGAGCCATATCCCCAGCTCTCTATAGGTTCTTAATCAAGGAATGACAATCCTTACTGCTGGGCATTGCATTAGACATAATCAACTCAACTCTAAACACTGCAAACACTACTTAATCAAGACAGACCTATTACAGACATTCCCTCTGCATGCTAATTGTAAGTGCTAGACTTAAAGTCTTAAGTCTTGGATCTTAAGTCCAGCAGATGCACACTCACTCAGACCACAGCGACCAGGTCAGGAAGCCATAGAGGCTTCTCCTGGGGTGGAGCTGACAGCTACCTGAGGACACAGTTGTAAGAAGTTGCCATTCTCACCAGGGTTAAGAGGCTGCTGCAGAGTTTGAGAGTGCAGAGGATAATACAGAGGATCAGGCAGATGATAAGAGTTGGGATGTCAGTCCAGGTCCTCAGCAGGTTCTCTGGCCTGTGTGCATCAGTATCAGGTGGCTTGAATGTCTTTTCATTTCCTCCAATATTTATATTAAATTTTGGAAGCTTCTGCTTGCCTTTTGGGTCCCTATTAGCTACTACCAGGTTTCTTAGTGACAACTTACATCTTAAAGAGGATATATGGTCTGGTGGTTTCTTCCCTGATACTCTTCTGAGTATCAGGTTATGACAAATGACATATGACTTCACCCTGACTCTTACCAGGGTTGTGAAAAGTGACTTGCTTTTATCAGGATATGCCTGATTAACATATTGGAGAGCTCTATAGCTTTTCTGGTGAGACTGCAGTTTTATTTTAAAATGGAGTTGCTTAGGCTAAGGCCTAAGGCCATCCTTACACCAGGCTGGCCTCAAACTTGTAGTCCCCCTCCTTCAGCTACCACACCAGCTCCAAGTGTTTTTGTGTAACTGTATTTTCTTTTCAACTACAATTCTGTCTCCAGAGTTCAGGGACAGAGTTACCTTGGTCCTTGGCAAATTTTCATGGGTACTTGTACTGAGTTCTCCTCACAAAGGATGCTAACCAGTCATGTGGGTTGATATACAAAAGAAGAGAGAGTCACGAAGGGAAGATGAGTTTTGTTCTGCACTGTTCAGAGGCAGAAAAGTGGATTAATCAACCTCCCTGCAGAATATGACCCCCTGAGTCATCCTCATTAGCCATCTTCATTTCTCATTCTCCAAAGACCTTTGTCTGAAATTCCTGTGCCTATTAGTTGGCTTGGAGCCCACCATCGTGCTTTTGTCACAGAGATAGTGAAGTACACACGTCCAACGAGAAAAAGGGAGAAGCCCACTGATTATTCTCACCATTACAGGAAAGGGCTCATCTTTAGCTGGGTCCTGGGGATGTAAGGGGCTACAGAAGTTGTTCACATCCTTTATAGTCAGATTTCCATTTCTGTAACAAAATACCTGAGAAAACCAACTTAAAAAGAGGAAAAGTTTATTTTGGCTTATGGTTTCAATATTTAGTTGGTTCAATTATTTCTTGGCCTATGGCAAGGCAGAACATAATGGTGGGGAGCACATAGTGAAGCAAAGCTGCTTACCTGATGGTTGCAAACAAAAAAGATAGGGGTAAGGAACTGGGGTTCCAATATCCCCTTCCAGGATACCCAAGTGGCCTAACTTCCTTTCCCTATGCCCCATCTCCTAAAGATTCCACCATCTCCAATAGTACCACAGGCTGGTGAACAAGTCTCTGACATGTGGCTTTGCGGGGACATTTAAGATCCAAACCACAATCCCTTTAAGAGTTCTATCCCAAAACATCAGCATTGGTCTTTCCGACTTCAGAGGAATTCCTCTGAAGTACAGAAGAAGTTAACATTCCCTTGTTAAATCAAACTAAAATTGGCCTGAGGAAGCTTCCATACAAGCCCTCACTTACCCTACTGCAACTTAATTTAGTGCATAAGTAAACTAAAGCAGGAGTAAACTTTTGTAACAAATAGTTAAGTCTCAGCCAGTCACAGCAGCCAAGCTTTCATCAACCACATGCAGCTAACTGTTCAAACAAAGCAGACCCAATTTGTAATCCATGGAGCAGTTTCTTTACCTCATTTCATTTTCTGTATCTCACTCTCCATTTTCTGTCCATAAATATTGCACATTGCAGCTACAGAGTTCCTCCGAACCCATTCTGGTTAGGAGGACTGCCAAATTCTAGAAATGAAAATAAAAGCCAATCCAGATTCATAAAACTAGATTTGTTGTAATTTTATCTTTTAATATTCTCTTGACATGCTAAGGTAACTTCAGCTCCACATAGAATGAGAATTGTAAAGCAGCCACCAGCTGAACACATGCCCTGTGAGAACAGTGCTCACATGAATCCTACCCATTTGGAGGAAGAAAGTGGGCCAGTGCACCTTGATAGCTTGATTATGTTTTGTCAGAGGCCTGTCCAAATTTAGAGTTACATATAGGTTGAGAGGTTACAATGAGGAAAAATAAAGTGAGAATTTTCTTTTCTTTTTTTTCTTTCACAGGGTTTTACTTTGTTGTCCAGAATAACCTTGAACTCTGATGGCTTCTAAGTAGCTGAGACTATAGGTATGCCCACAGTTCCTGGCTTGGCTATTTCTTAAAGATGGTGCTCCGCACCCATGGACATTCATACCTGTGCTTCCTTCCCCAGGATGTATCATTATATCATTCACACTCTATCCTAGTTCATTTGGTGAACAAATATCACTTGTTTGCTCTGATAAGGGAAAATCATTTTAAGAAAAATTATTCAAAATTTCTAAAAAGGTAACAAAGTGAGCAATATATCCTTTCAAGTCGTATGGGAGCACTGACCTAATCAAGGATTAATTTTTTTTTTTTTTTTACTGGAGTATATTTTGACTTCTGTTTACTATCACTTAAAAGTCAAGTTCAAGCCCAGCTTGGTCAACAAAACAAAAAGTGAAAAGGGCTGAGGAAGTAACTCAGTGGTAAAATGCCCCTGGGTTCAACCCAAGCACAACCAAAACCCCCAAAATTATGAAAAAAACAAAAACAAAACAACTTGAGATCAGTTGATATGCTAAATTACTTACATTATATAACAAATTTTATCGTCAAATAAAAAGACTTTTAAACCTTGCCTACATTATAGTCTTTCCTACATTATATTCATACAAATATTTCAAAAGTCGTATAAGATTTCTAGAAATTTGTCAGTGCACATGCTGTCCATGAAATGCCCTGGTGTTCTTTTGCCTAATATTAGTAAACAATGTTATCAGTCATAAATCCTGTTACTATTTAAAGTATTGTCGTCACAGAAACAACCAAATTTCATTGTCAATTGCATTTATGTCACTTCCATCAGACCTTTAACCACAGTCATTTTAAGTCTTTTGTTATTCTCTAACAATTTTTGTTTTATTACCTCCCTAAAAGCATTCTCATTCATCCAAAATCCAGACTTCTTGGCTTTGGTGATTAAAAAAAAGGACTATCTTAGAGACCCATGAAAAAGAACTGTGCTAGATACAAGGGTATACGTTTTTGATAGCCTTCTTTAAATAACTTTGAGATCATATCATGTGACTGAGGAGGATTTCTAAAATTCTGGTGGAGAAGCTGATACATTCATAAAACTGCTAGACCAACAAAAAGCCATTAATTAAATGAGACTGAATGAACAGAAATGGAATTATTGAAGGTTTTTATAACTTTGTTGAAACATTGGTGGTTCTTTAACATTCTATTTTTCTAGATATATATTTTTGGGCTGGAGTGAAATGGAATCTCAGTGTAGTTTTAATTTGCATTTCTCAAATTGCTAGAGATGATGAGCATATTTTTATATATTTGTTGGCCATTTGTATTTCTTCTTCTGTTCAGTTCCTTTGCCCATTTATTGATTGGGTTATTTATTTATTTATTTGGTGTTAAGTATTTTTATTTGTATATCTGGGAGATTAGTGCTCTATTAGAGGCACAAGTGTCAAAAATTTTCTCCCATTCTGAGGTTCTCTCTTCACATTCTTGATTGTTTCCTTTGCTGTGAAGAAATTTTTAAGTTTGATATCATCCCATTTATTGATCCTTGATTTTACTTCTTGTGTTTTAAGACTCTTATTGAGAAAGTCAGTTTCTAAGCTGATATGATGGAGAGTTGGGCCTACATTTTCTTCAGTTAGCTGCAGAGTCTCTGGTCTAATATCTAGGTCCTTGATCTACTTTGAGCTGTGTTTTGTGCAGGGTGAGAAATAGGGGTTTAAGTTCATTTTGCTACATTTGGATTTCCAGTTTTCCCAGCACCATTTATTGAAGAGGCTATTTTTTCTCCAATGTATGTTTATGGTGCCTTTGTCTAGTATGAGATAACTGTATTTGTGTGGGTTTGTCTCTGTGTCTTCTATCCTATACCATTGGTCTTCATGTCTATTTTGGTGCCAATACCATGCTGTTTTAAAAAATTTATTGATTGATTCTAATTTGTTATATGTGACAGCAGAATGCATTTCAATTCATAGTACACATATAGAACATAATTTTTTCATTTCTCTGGTTGTACACAAAGTAGAGTCACACCATTTGTGTTTTCATACATGTAATGATGTCCATCTAATTCCATAGTCTTTCCTACCCCCTGCCCACTCCCTTCTCCTCCCTCCCCTTTGCCCTATCTAAAGTTCCTCCATTCTTCCTCTGCTCCCCCCACCAATACTCATTATGAATCAGCATCCTCATATCAGAGAAAACATTTGGCATTTGAAAGAGCCAGGCATGATGGCAGTCACCTGTAATCCCAGAGTCTCAGAGGGTGAGGCAGGAGGACTGGGAGTTCACAGCCAGCCTTAGTAAAGTGGCAAGGCTCTAAGCAACTTAGTGAGACCCTTTCTCTAAATAAAAAATATAAAACAGGCTGTGGATGTGGCTCAGTGGTTAAATATCCCTGCCTTCAATCCTCTGCATCAAAAAAAAAAAGTAGTGAAAGGACTTGAAAGATAACACATAAACTGAGCTGGTAGGTTTTGAGAGAGTTGACTTCAATTTTGAATTTCTACTGTGGGTAAAATGCTATCAAACAGGTTGCATACTATAGAGAAATCTTCAGCAAAGAATCAATTGATGTGGTAAACTTCACTGTGGACTTATTTTAAGAAATTGTTACAGATGCTACAGCCATCTACTGCCACCACCCTGATAAGTCAGCAGCCATCAACATCAAGGCATGATGCTTCACCAGCAAAAAAAAAAAAGATTATGACTTCTTAAAGGTTCAAGTGATTTTTAGCAATTTCTTAGCAATCAAATACTTATTTCTCAAGTATTACCCAGATGTTTTCAAGTATTACATTAGATATAATGCTATTGCACAGTAAATAGACTACAGTTTAGTATAGGCATAACTTTTATATTTACTGCAAAAAAGACTTCATGTGACTTGATTTATTAAATTATTTGTTTTGTTGCAGTGATCTAGAAGCAAACCACAATACCTATGAGGTATGCTGGTATAAAAAAGATCATCAGCAAATACTGTACCATCAAAAAGATGAAAGTGTGATTCGCATTCACTGTCTCTTTAATCTTCCTTATGACAACAGAGGTGGGTCACTGTTACTGACAATTTGATAAGGAGCTAGAGAGGATGTGACTCATCAAACTTTATTTGATGGAGTTGTGACAAACTAAATTCAATGTTAGACTTATTCCCTCCCCACCTCAAAGTAGCTATGACCTACGATTCCCATGAAGACAGATCAATTTCTCATCATCAAGAAGCCATCATTGCTATCTGCTGGGAGGTTCTGGAATCCAAAGAGGAACCTTAGTAGCCTAAAGGAGGGTGTGAGGTGTGATTGCCTCTGAGGATTATTCATGGGGAAGAAGAGTGTGGTCATCTGTGGGGAGGTTCTTGGTCTGTTTTTGGGGATGTGGGGATCCTTTGAAAAGAGGCTTCTCTTCTGACCTCTGAGAAACTGGATTAATGATTATGGGAGTCACATTTTCATTCTTATGGCTTACGCATGATAAATGGCCTCAATAAACCTTTAAACTGAGTTGCCATGGTATAAATGAAGGACTGATTATTTACATTGAAAAAGGAGATGGTCCCACTCTCATAGTCTAGGAAGATACCCACTATTGTAAGGGGCATACGAAAGACTGATTCTGTGGGGGTTTAATGTAAAATGCTCATATTTACACTGTCCAAGGATCCAGTATCCATTTGGGGCAGACAAATTTAAGTCCTTTGCCTTCCTGGATTCATTATCCTGACACATCCCCATGAACCAATTTTCATTGTGTCCTACATCAACTTCCCAGTAGCACTTCCCTGTCTGAAAACACTGAGAAGCTACCACACATTTCCTCCTAAATCTCTTCTCTGTGAAGGGCACCTCCTTCCTGGGACATTTTTTTATATGCTACAGCTTTCAGATCAGAAATGTAGAGCTGTGGGTGAGCTGTGTCTGGGTCTAGAGTCACCTCCACTGTGATACAGGGAAGAGATAGAAAGAACACCTGTTAGTGGGGAGGTGACCTGAGCTAGTCCCAGAGCTCACTTGCTTTCACTGCAGATTAGGTCAGGGTGGGTTCAGGGGAGGTGTCAGAGCCAGACTCCCTTTATTGGACATTGCCCCTCCTTGTCAGAACCCGCTGACAATGTGTAATTCCCGTTACAGCAGAGATGCTTAAAGAAAGACACACACGCACACACACACACATCCAGTAGAAATGAGCACCGTCTTTGCTTTTTTTCTCTCCTTCTTTTATACAGCATTGTTAATTAAAACAAGGGAGAAGAAAAAACTCCTTTCGGCAGCTTAATCCTTACAAGCATGGATAAACATTCWCGGGAAAACTTTGTTTATGGTCACAGTGCTCCGTATTTCTTATCAATTAACTTGTGGTTAGTTATTCCCAGGCAAACACACACACATATATATATAAATTTCACACTTGGCAGAACATTCTTTTCTCTTATATTTTTAAGCAATAAGGACATAGTTCAAAGAGTTTATACTTTCTCACAGAACTCCTTGTTTTGCTAAGCACAGCAAAACTTAACTGTTTGTGTGCGTGAGCACACACCTCCTGCCCTTTCCTCCTTCACAGTGAAGCCTCTGTGACTTTTCAATGCTTGGCAAGCCCTAGCAGTGAGTTGGTGACTCCTGAATTTCACCCCATGTCTCTCTATACATGCCCAGTATTTTACTTAGTGAGACTTTTTGTAACCCCATTATTCAGCTTCCTCCCATATATCAGTTTCTGTATAACTTCTCTTTCTTTCCCCAMCACCCAGTCACTAGTGCCCTAAATTATCTGTAACTCTGCCTTTGACTGTTACCGTGGCTGCATCAGCCCCTGCTTTATTTCTTCATAAACCTGAGAAGTATGTCTATGGGAAGCTGCACCCTGTTGTGTATCCAAATTTATTGTCTRCAGTCTAAGTAGCTCCATATCTGTCACTAGTCAGCTACCTTTCTCCACCCTCATAGTCTAGGAAGATACCAACTCTTGTAAGGGGTGTACAGGGGAAGATTATTCTTTTATGGGGATTTAATATGAAAAATGTATTATCTTCCTCCTTTTTAAGTCCCAGTATCCCCTTCTGGGAGTTATAAGTAAGTATTTTTGCCACCTAGGTGCGTTATCCTGACACACTCCCAAGAAGCAATTGTCATTGTATTCCACATCTACTTCCAAATAATGTTTCCCTGAATGGAAACCCTTAGAAACTTTCTCTTAGATCTCTTCTCTGTGTAGGGCACATTTTGGAAAGCTTTCTTATATGTTATGTTTTTCTGATCAGACATATAGAGCTGTGGATGAGCTGTATCTGGGTCCAGAGTCACCTCCACTGTGGTATGGTTGAGCAAAGAAATATAAGTTAGTGGGAAGAAGACTCCTCTCTCTGTAGATTGGTTCAGAGTAGGTWCAGGTGAGGACCCAGAACCAGAATCCCTATTGGCCATTGCCCATCCAGCAATTTCTTCCTCTCCAGTGCAGCCCCCAATATTACCACAATTCTATTCTTGCCCTTCCCTATAAATGTCTTATCTTTGTGAAATCTCAAATGAATCCACTATTCAGTTCTCCCCTCACCATTTCCTGGCTCTAACTCAATTCTTTCCCCTGCTGCCTGGAATCCTGTCTATTCACCAATTACATAAATTCTCAATTCTTTTCTTTGCCTGAAAACTTCAAATCCTATGTCCCAATTCCTGCCCTCTCCCCTCCTACACCTCTGTTTGAAGTTCACCTGGGGAAAGCTGCACTTTAACATGCATTGCAGCATCACAGATTAATCATCAGCAGATTGGGTGGGCTGCATATCTGACACCTGCTATACCCACTTGAGACTGTACTGTGACCAGTTCCCTCTGGCATTGTTACCTGTATGTTTCTGGTATTTTCTCAATGCTGAAAACAGAATATATAAGTCAGTGATTACATGGAGAGCATGAAGCAAGAGAAGGAGGAGCAACCAAGGGTGATCAACCTTTATGGGCATCATGGGACCACCTGAGATCCAATGAAGGCTATGGGCCTTACTACTAAAGGTACTCCTTCTATATTAGTACACAATTTCAAGTTCCCCTTCACAAATTTGGCTCTGTGGGTTCTGATGAGCCTCGGGTTATGTGAATTTATAAGCTAGGGACTTGGAAGGAAAAGATGATTAGGGAAATGAGGGATGACAGTAATAGCTTCTCTCATCTACCTGTGTTTACTTCCTTCTCTGTTCTGGAAACAAAAAAGAGGAGAGGATGAAATTATAAAACAGGAATGAAGGGACAGTGTGGATGGAAGTCTCAGTATCTGGTGACATTCTTAGCTATTTTCCTGAAGTTTTTGTAACATAAAAATCAGTGTATTCCATGGTCAATGAAAGCCTGTATAAAGACTCAAAAGCATCAGGCCAGAGGAAATTGGGGTTTCTTTGCCATTCTGAGTTTGCATATCCTAGACAGCTCATGAAATCTACAGTTTCTCTCTGTAAAAATGTATCAACAGACAATTTTTTTWAAAAAATTGGGCATTTTCCAACCCTGATGTACAGCTGTATATATGATATATGTCTCCGAAAAACAGTTGCATAGACTCTTAGATATATATCCCCATATATCTAAGAGACAAATTTGTTAATGGATGGAGAGGGAAGTCGCTGCACAGCCTTGTCCTTCACATGCTTCCTTTCCAGACCAGAGCAAAGACAACACAGACAGCTCAAACTATGGAACATAGAGGGACTTAGGAGAACAGTTTACAGAAGGCTCAGAGCATGACAAGACACTTACCCAATTCTGCCAATATTTTCCCTGAAACAAAATTCAAAAGTGTGTAAGGTATAAACACAACCTTGGCTCCTTGCTTAATTGGGAAGATCTGTGATCTGAAGTACAAGATTCTCCTAGAACTTTCCCATTGTGCCTCTACCCACCATCCCTTCCCTGAATGTCTCTATCTGGAATATATCAAGAAGACAGCTGGAAGAGGGAAGTGGGATTATGGCAGAGGGCAATAGCACCCCTAAAGAGGAAGAATTGATTCTTATGGCTTAAATTTTATTGAGGCTGAATATTCTTTTATGTCATCAATCTCTTTATCCATATATATGGATAAAGAAGTATTTTTGACATTGAAATTTTTATTAGAGTTTTTCTGATATTCTTAGAAATTTGTATAAGCTTTAGAGTAATGAAAATCATTCATCCCTTTATTTTTGTGCCTACTAAAGGAAGGGCCTGTTAGTGGCTGGCATTTTCCCAGGGAGCCATAGTCAGCCAGCCTGGGGGGAAATGAGGAATGTGGTCCCACATGATGGGTTTCTGAAGCCTGTAGATGGAAGAACAGACTCGGTGGCACACAGGAGCATTCCTGGAACCATAAATAAAAGCTAAAGGCCCATGATTTTATCTTTCACTTACTTTTGGGAAAAGATATCCTCATTGCAATAATCCCAACACTTAAAATAGAGTAATCCCAATAAAATGAAAACCAGGCGCCAAGGTGAAGGTTGGAAAACTGTCTCTGAAAAACAGTTGCATAGACTCTTTATTTAATAACTTCTGAACAATGAATGCAGTTTGATTCACTTTAAGGAATTGTATTATACCCTAAGATTAAAAGAATATTTTTCTATAATTACTTCCATAGTTCCAAAATATTGCATTTCTATATAAGTCTTGATCTATCTGAATTCTTATTATATATACACTATAATTGAGGTTTAATTTTCTTCTAAATGAATAAAACTATGACAGCATCATTTATTGAAAACATATTTCTTTACATAATTATTTCACATAATTTCAGTTCTATATACATCAAGCTCCTGCTTAGGCTTGGATTCATTTCGGAAGTTCTATATTGTGGGAAGCCGTTCTCACACGTGACTGAGATACCTCCCTGACTGGGTGTGAGGCGCTCAGACCAGCTGAGTCAGAGCTTTCCCCACCCTTTCCGGGTTTGAGGGCTTGTCCGTGTGGGGCTGTGACTGACCATTGACCTGGAAACCAATCACTGACCCTGACCTTGGAATGCTGTCTTCCTCAACCTTCATTAGATGAAATTTTCCCCTGAATTTTTTGTTCCCCAATAAAATCCCACTCTCTGGCGTGCTCTCCCCTCTCTCCTGCTGGTCTCTTGTATAAACCTCGCTACCACCAGGTGGCTCCAGGCAGGAGCCGGGAAGGGCCGTCTCTGAGATGGGCAAGAAAAAGGTAAATTGAGTTTATGTGTCTTTATTTTGATCTCACTATTTAACTTCTATGTTTTAAATCTCTAGTATGAAGCTAGCATGCTGGTCGCATGGCAGACTATGTTATATACCATTGGTCCACTTCTCTATCCATGGCGATAATTGAGATTGCCTTAATCATCAACAGCCCTGGGATACATCTTGATATAAACTAGCCCAAGTTTCTTAATTTGATCATACCTCACTGTGTCTGGCAATTTTTTTTTTTTTTTTTTTTTTTAGTACTGGGACATTAACTCAACCATGAGCCCCTTCCCCAGCCCTATTTTGTATTTTATTTAGAGACAGGATCTCACTCAGTTACTTAGTACCTCACTTTTTCCCAAGGCTGGCTTTGAACTCATGATCCTCCTACCTCAGCTTCTGGAGACACGGGGATTACAGGTGTGTTCCACCATGCCCGGCATGTCTGGCAATTCTTAACCATGTATTCCACCATTTATGTTGTAGCACTATTCACAATAGCCAAGAAATTAAGTTAATGTAAACGATAAATGGATAAAGGAAATGTGATATATACATATATGCGGACAAAGAAAATGTGGTGTATATATATATTATATTATACACAAATACACATGATGGAACACTATTCAACCATTAAAAATGAAATATTGGTATTTGCAAGCACATCAAAAGGAATGGGAAACATTATACTGAGTGAAATAAGCCAGGTATAAAAAGAAAATTATTTCAAGCTCCCACTTGTGTGTAGAATGCCAAACAGTTGTTCTTCTGCATTGAGATTTGTGCAATTTAATGGACCAGGTATCTCTAACAATTTTATGAAGTGGCTTTCTCCAGAAAATGTGTCTTGGGGTGTTGTTAGTTGTATATGACTTGGATTCCAGCTGGGCCCTATAGTGTTGTATCCCTATAGTTTCTTTGGTTGTAAATAATGACTTCAGATGCAGTGCAAACTGTAGCAGAGTCACAAAGACCCATTGTTTCTGTATGTTACATGAAAGTGGGAGCACTTCAGGCAGGTATGGCATAGACAGTGATGGTTTTGGGGAGCTATGCAACTACTTCTGAGAATTGGGACCTCCATTAGGTACCATCTCTGCCATTAGCAAGGGCCTCTTGCATTGGCAGCCACAGTGATGGTAGGGGGACTGAGGCACTTGTCCTTCRACCAGTCAGTGGTGCGAGCCCTATGTTACATGGGAAGACATAGTGGCAGAAACTGCAGCACCCACTGTGGCACTTGCACTCAGGCCTGACAGCAGCATGTGGCTGGGCAAGGTAGATGGGCATGGTGGTGGTGCAAACTGTGTAGGTGGGATGGCAGCAAGAACCATGGTGTTTCTCCCTGCTAGTGTCAGGGCATCCCCAGGAACAGGAAAGAAGCTGACACCAGACATAGTTCCCCTGGACCTTCTTTGGCTGAGTAACCCAGGAGTGGGTCAATGGCTGGAGAAGAGGCTTTTCTATCACAACTCTTTCAGCTGGAGCATGCATATTGGGGATGGGTTGACACCCAGAGTTGCTTAAGACCTCCTCAGTATGTGCCTATGCATAGGGCAAAATTGGGATTAAAAGAGCACACAAGAAATATGAAAAACAAAGTTGCTTCTAAAAGAATAAAATAACTCTCCAGCAACAGATTATAAAGAAATTGGTATGAATGAAATACATAATAAAGAACAAAAAGAATGGTTTTTAAAACAGCTCAACGAGACCCAAGAGGATATATATAAGCAGTTAAATAAAATTAGGAATGCAATGCAGGATATAAATGAGAAATTCAGCAAAGAAATAGCATATTTTAAAAGAACCAAACAGAAATCTTTCAAAAGAAGAGTCAATAAGCCAGGTGTGGTGACTCATGCTTGTAATCTCAGTGAATTGGGAGGCTGAGGCAGGAAAATTGCGAGTATGARGCCAGCTTCAGCAATTTAGTAAGAACCTCAGCAATTTAGTGAGACCTTGTCTCAAAGTGAACAGGAGAAAGGGAGATACCTAAAGTTGGCAAATTCAAGTGAGATTGGTCATCCCTAATCTCTACATAGCACAGAATGAAGGCAGTGAAAGAACAGCTGACCAGTGAAGCAGGTGACATAGTTCATGATCTAAGATCCAATATTAGACAGTCT